CTCAGCAGTGTACTTCATCAGTCTGCCTGTCCTGCTCCCCACTCTGTCTCTGGTGAATCCTCTCACCACCCCTGTTCCTCTGGCCTGTACCCAAGTTCTGTATGCATAAATAAATAAATCTTTTAAAAAATAAGAAAGCAATGATTCATTTCTCTAATAAATTCTTTAGATAATTTTGTCCAGTGTTTTCAATCTTTTCTGGTATGTTTTCACTGTCTGATGGAATTCACACAAGGCAACACAAATCAATTTCCCAGATGAGTTTCCTATACCTTCTATTGTTTTAATTAGCCAACAGTTTTATTTCTTAAATTCTTAGATTTGTGTTCAATTAGAATACATTCAATTATAATGACTATAGAAGTACAAATCCCCTTTGGTTTTATATATTAAGTGATTTCTAAACACATAATTAACATGGTATCATTTCACTTCCAGTGATCCCCCAAAAGGGAAAGCACTTGAATACTTTCCATCTCTAAAATACAAATGACCTCAATCATCATGAAGCTTGTATTTTATAAAGAAAAACTTACAAATTTGAATATGTGAATTTAAAAATTTCAATTAAAAAATTTCAATTTTATTTACTATGAAATGCTGATGTAAAGCATTTTTCCTCATGGTAGAAAATTTGTCATGATGAACTTTGTCTAGCAATATCTAGAACATTGACTAAGAAAGTGGAGAGTAGATTCTTCTTTACCCTATTTCTCCGTCTCCAAAATAGGTGCTACTGCAGGATCTCTAATCATTATCAGATACTCATGATTAGCTACCGGTTGGCTACAGACAGTGTTTGTGTCTCCCAGTCATATGTTGAATCCAAATCAGCAAAGCTGATGCCATTGGCTCCTCTGGGAGGAAGTCCCCACCAATAAGACTAGTGCCCATAAAAGAGAACCCAGAACGGATGATCTCTTGCCCTTCCACTCCGAGATGACACATTGAAGAGGGCTGTCTTTGAACCTGATAGTTAACTTCTAAGAGACACTGAATCTTCCAGGCTCTGGATCTTGGACTTCCCAGCCTCCAGAATAATAAGAAATAAATTGTCTATAAGCAGGAAATCCACATTATGTTGTTACAGGAGCCTGAACGGACTTCTCAGAGTTCTAAAAGGAACCTCCTTAGAGATGAGCTAGCAAGGGACCTTCCAGAATAGAAGTGTAAATTGCTCAGTGCTATGTACTAATGGGGTACAGTTACATCAGCATGGGGGAGTCTTAAGGTTATGTGATGAAATAGAGTATGAAATACTTTAAAGATCTCCCGGCCAAGAGCATTGTCCAAGAATATGAAATTTTGATTGCAATTGTTAATGCAAAGGCATGCAACGAATAGAAAGTCCAATGTGGTGTCACACAGATGCAATTTGAGAATTAATGCTTCCTTTGTATACCCTTAGTGTATATTTGTATCCCTTCTATATGTGGAACTTAATTAGAAAAAGCTTTACAACTTCACAGGTTATAGAAAGCAGTGTCAATAGAACTAGACTAAGGTACTGTAATCAAAAGGGCTTTAATATTATATATATTTCAAATATCTATGTCTCTCTTTATAGACACATAATTACTTAACAATTACATAAGAACTTTTGAAATTGAATGTAATTTTCATAAATTTGGGGCTCTGATATTTTCATATGACTGAAACAACAAAATTTGGGGGGAGGGATCTGCAAACATACATGTTAGAGGGAAAAAATATTAATATGGAAAGTCAATGCTTTTTTAAATAATTCTGTCCGTTACCGTTTTTGAATAAGAGGGAAAATATTATTCATCTGTATTCCTTTCAAACAAGAAACAATGAAGAATTCCAGGAAGAACACTGAAATCAGAAATGTAATTTTATTTAGCAATTCTTTTCTAGCTTACTAGACTTGTCATTTTCCAAATTAAGACAGAAGATGCAATGGAGGAATTCCCTTTAAACATTAAGTGAGAACTGGCAGAGAAATGGCAGTGAAACTACTAAGAGATTGCTTTTTGTTTTCCTGCAAGTTTCTTTTTGAGAACAATTTTAGAAACAACTGATTTGAAATATTAAAACATATCCTAATATACTTATCTGGTTCTGTATGATCCAATTTGCTTTGGTAAAATTTGAAAAATGCAACCCATGACTTACTAAACATCAATCACTCTTCTCCAACCACTGCTTAAACCAATTTGGTTGACTCAAAATATTCATTGTTCATCTTGCTATTCATTATTTATTCATAAACCCTTATTAATAATACATTGCCATAAATGACAAATATCAAAGTTAACACTCTTATGACTGTCTTGTGACATTTTCACTTCGAGTACCTAACTAAAAACAAACTAAAGCTTAAGGACGAAAGTTCACTGGGAAAAAACAAGGAACACACCACCCTCCTAAAGACAAGTTTGTTTATTCTTAGAACACAATGAAGCTAAATAATCTACTGAGTCAGTGCAGCTCTGAGTACTTGTAAGCCTCCCTACTTCTGCTCAGCAGCTTCCTTTTGTTGATCTCTAAAACAAAAGCATTGAAAACCTGCCTTGCAAAACCACCCTAACACATTTTATTCTGCAATTATCTTTGTGGGGGTTGAGTCATAAATAGATAAACTTAAACCAAATAATGATGCCTTCATATACTTTACCAACTTTTTTTTTTTGGTGAACACTATTTAAAAATGCAGTCAGCTTGAATGAACTAAAGATAAATGGATTCCCACGTAGACAATGAATCATGAGCAGTTTTCAAGACAAAGAAAGGTCAGGTGAGGTGATCAAGGGTTGAGATGCCAAACGTTCACTGTGAAAAAGAAAAGAAAGGTAGCAGGATAGTAAGAAAGACCTCGGTTTGGGAACTGGGCACCAACCTGGGTTTCAGTCTGTTCTTCTGAGCATCAATCTAAGAAAGGAGGATAATTCTATCATTTATATAAGTCAATATGCCCTATCGTACTGTATCACAGGTGTTTTAAATAGTGGTGAACATTATTAGGAAGGAAAAATGTAAACTACTTTCATTTCATGCCCACTGCCAAGCACATTAGTTTCAAGCCCACATAACCCATACTTCGTAGGCTGCAGTCACCCGGCAGGAGACAATCAAGGGATAATGATTTCAAAGACCATAAAAATAGCCTCTGGTTTTCAGCTTCTCCCAGTAGAAACTCCAGCTTCTCTCTCTCCTCAGCAGGGTCCCTGGGGGCTCCTGTCACCTCTCAGCCATGGGGTTCCACCAAGCCAGTTTGCTCCACACTTGCCTGTGTGGGTGCGGGGCTGTTGCTCCCGTGATGTGGACCAGGTTCCCCCACTGAGGCTGGGTCTCTCTGATCACTACCAGTCTCTCCCCTCTCCCCACTTTCTGGCTGCTGATGTGGACTTCCTCACCCCAACACTGCCATGCTATCCCCATCAGTGAAAAGACATTTGCCACCTATGCAGAGGGATGCCCTCAGTTTCCACAGTGCACCGGCTGCTTTTGCTCTTCAGTCCTCCCATCAGTCTGTTGTTTTGTTTCTGAGGATGAATGCAGGCCCTCACCACACTGCTCCCTGCCACCACAAACAGCATCCAAGGTACTATCAAGGGTCAGCAGGTCCCTGGCCTCAGGGTGAGGCAAATCTATGGCTTGGGGGAGAGGGCCTAAGTATTATGAGGGCACCAGGGAGAAAGCGCAGGCCTGGGACCAGCTGCTAAGGACTCTGGAGGGTGGAATCTCCCAGGAGGAGCCCAAACTTCAGGTCCCGGGTTTTTTCTGTAGTTTTCTGGCTTGCCAGGCATTGTCAGTATATTCGGATATCTGTGTATTCTAAATCCTGCTCTGACAGGGAGCTGGGGACAGGATTAAACATGGTTAAGGGCAGCCCGGTAGGTTTGGGCTAGTGGGTTTGTGTCACACAGGCACTGATCCCCGTCTGACCCACACACAGTTCCCACCTCTGGCCATGCCAAAGGCCTTCATATTATTAAACATTAACAGCCCCTTCCAGATATAACTATCCAGAAAAGCCTTTATCTTTCTGGTCTACCCTTTTTTTTTTTTTTTTAATTTTTTTTTTTTTTTGTAAATACTGAACTGGGGTACAGGCCAGAGGATTCACCAGGGGCAGAGTGGGGAGCAGAATAGGCAGATTGATGAAGTACACTGCTGAGGGGAAGAGCGGGCGGGTCAGAAGAGGTCTGCCACGCCATGTGGATCTCCTCCAGGGCAGGCGGGAATCGAACTCATGCGGAAGTGGCTTAAGCTTCTTAGTGCTGTGCTTTAACCCGCTGCGCTACCAGGGAGGGCCCTCTGGTCTACACTCTTGGGCTACACTCTCTGATCTGCAGTATTTCTACCCACAAGTCCTTGTTCAAGGCGCCATTACTACCAAATATCTATGAGAATAATGTTGTTTCCCAGTTGTAAACATCAGGCTCTGGTCTGGCTCCATTGGCAATGGGTGACAGGTGTCATACGAGCTGGTCCACAACACCTCACTAGTATCAGCTCTTCCTTTGTTCCTGATTTGGGCAAGCACAAAGATCCCCATTGGGGATTAGTATGCATCTCTTCCTTCTGGACTGACTGGGAAAAGGTGTTCTCCCCACTGTCTCTGGGTTGATGGCCCACTTTGTCCTATCCTGGTAATTGGACACTTAGCTAGAGTTCCAATTCCTGAATCCCATTAAAAAAATTTATTTATTTGTGCATACAGAACTGGGTATGCATACAGAACAGGCCAGAGGGGCAGGGGTGGTGAGAGGATTCACCAGAGATAGAGTGCGAAGCAGAACAGGCTGATCTACAAAATACACTTCTGAGGGGAGCAGCGGGCAGGTCAGGAGAGGTCTGCCGCGCCATATGGGTCACTGCTGGGGTGGGGGATTGAACCTGCACTGAGGTGGCTGCGGCTAGCTTGCAGTGCTGCATCCTTACCTGTTGTGCCAATAGGGAGGGCCCCTGAGTCCAATTTTAATTTGACCTGTATAAGAAAGGTGGAGAAGTGTTGGTCCTGGTCTGGCAACTTCAGAATATACTAGAGTCTGACTAGAAATTAACTGGCTTCCCTAATCCCTCCATGCCCCGTGTTCTGCCTGCACTCTCCAGTCAGGCCTGGGGTCACCTTGCCCTGCCCCCTGTAGCTATTGGGACACAGCGCCCCAGCTCAGTCTGCACCAGGCTTCAAGTGACAGGATATGCTTAACCCTGTGCTTCCTCTCACTCCAAAGAATCCCTGGGGCCAGCTCCTAGAGCCAACACCAAACACTCAGGGTCTGCAGACCTCTTGAGGAGGGACAATGCCACCTCAGCCTCCTATCTCATTCGGAAGCCAGAGAACTATGGCTCATCAGTGAAGCCTGTGATGGTCCCCTCCCTGCTCAGACATCCTCCCCTTCTTTCCAATAGCCTATGTATGCTTTCACAAAGTTCACCTGCTTTTAGATAAAATCACTTATTTATTTATTTATTTAGTACTGAAATAATATTGGTTTGTAACTTAATACAGGTTTCATGGAGACAGTCATCTGAATTTGAAAATTGGCTTCTACAGTATGTCAAAAAAATCTGATCCTATATTTTATTACTCCTAGATTCATGTATGTATTTTAGAATATGGAACCTCAGAAAAACTGGATCTCTGGGCTATGTGACAAAGAACAGAATTCAGTCCACAGCCTCTGAGGGAACACAACGCACAGCGAAGTGTCAGCCAGTGTTACTGCTACACTCATGCAAGTCTACTGGCAGCACCTGTCAACTCACACCATCGTCTTTCTCTTTGTTCTTCATGTTACTGAGCTGTCCTTTGATATACGTCTCTATCTGCATATATAGCTACGTTCATGCTAATCAGTTTCACACATAAGCACTCACAGATTAGGTCTATGTTCAAGGTATGTTATTCTGTAAAGTGCCTGTCACAATGACATTTGTGCGCTTAGACTTTTGTAACTAATGTATTTTTGTTAAAACGATTATCCTAAAATTAAAGTGGGAAGGTAAATTAAAGGTGTTATTAGTCATTGTGGATCAGTATTATGCTATACATAAAATTGTAAAGATAATGGGTAGGAAAGAGCTTTGTAAGGTACTATTCAATTTATTATTTCAGTTATTTCTACGTTATTGCATTTTTATAAATGTGCCAGTTAAAATAAGAAAGGTATATTGTCCTTTATATTATAATTATGCTTTTAACTAGAAGCAAGCCACTCTTAACCAAGCTTCCATTATTTCCTTTATAGCTATTTATTTTCTTTATCCTATAATAACTGTGAACTTCCAGAATAATAGTCATAGAATCATACACCTAAAAAGAGACTATAGCGTTCTTACCCATTTCTCTGACTTCCAACATAGTTGTCCTTAAACTCATGCAGATAGATGAAGACATACACAATTGAAAAAATACATAAAGCGAATGTTTTACTGATTAAAAAAGACAAGATACACCTTTTTTAAATGAAGTCGTTTCTCTTCCCTTCATTCAATATCAAATACTTCTGATTTAGCAGTGCAAATACTGAATGTTCAAGGGCAAAACAAAACAAACAAAACTATATTTCCTTTGCCAGTTCTTGCCATAAAAAGTACAGAGTGTGCTATTAGTAATGAATTTTCTCTCCCCTTTCACCCTGCTTACTTCTGTCTGCAACCATGACATTTATAAAAAACGTCTTTAGAAAAATGTTCAAAAGAACAAAACAAGACTTTTAAAGAAAAAATGGCCATTTTCTTTTTCAGTTTGTGAATGGAAGTGACATTACAACACGGAATGACTCTGCTGTAGGGAGTGACACCTTCTCAGCTGTCTTAGTGCCCCAAAGGCACACAGCCCTCCAGCACAGCCCACGTACCCCTCCCCCGTGGCTCAAATGATCGTTTTCTGTATTGTTCTCCTTTAGTTACTAGAACATATACTGCTCTTTCAAAAACTACAATCATAATTTTAGCTTTTTAAAGGTAGTGTTACACCACAGGTATTTTCAAATTCTGAAGCGCTACCTTTAATTTCAATAAATTAGTAGTGTTTTTTTCCTATTGCCATGGGGTAAAACAATGTGACTGCAGTGCAAGTTACTTCAATAAGGTAAATGTTAAGTATGTTTGATTGCACCATTTTCTTTTCTTTTGTCTTCTTTTCTTGTTTTTCTTAATAATTCAGAGGTCTCCCCTCCACACCTATTAGGCCAGGAGTTCACAGGGATGAGTTCCAGCTGCTGCGCCCCTTTCCATGGGATCTCACAGCATATGTGTCTCTGGGTGGAACAGGCGGGCGCTTCAGAGGAACCCAAGTACCTTTCTCTCCCTCTTTTGATCATCTTCCTTCACACGTTTCAGGCTCTCTCTGCTCTTAGAGAGCTTAGTATGCGCTCTACCAACATGAATTCTCTTGGCAAGAATCTTGCCCTTTCCTTGTTTGTTTCCAACAACACCCATTGCATGCTGGGTAACAGAGCCTCCAGTATTACCATGGTAACGGGTAGGCATTCCTTTTTGAACAGGGCCTACTCCCTTGATGTCTACAAGCTCACCTTTCTCATAGATTCGTAGGCCTGTGGCCAAAGGAGCACCTCCATCCCCGTGTTCCCTGAAAGGCCTAGAGAGCTGGGGGCCTCTTCTCTCCCCTTGAGTGTAGGTCATCTTGGCAACTTACAGGAAGATGTAGGCTCCTGCTGAAAAGCTACATTTCCCTTAATTGTTAGAAATGGCTAATCTAAATTTCCAAAAGTTAACATTTTTCAGGACTTGATCTGTAATTTCAAAGTACTCTTCCAAATGACTCTCCTAATGTCTTTCCTACCATGCATGAAAACTCTAGCAGTGAATGTCTCAGAGATTCTAATTTGCACTAAATTTGGAATAGGTGTGTTTGCTGTAATTAATCTTTTGGGAAGCAAATAAAAAGGGGGGTCAACTCAGCCGATGCATACATCAACTATAAATAAAACTCAGGTTAATTTTAGTCTATTAAATGATGATCCAAAATCTTATGTCATATTATCATTTAACAGATATAATGAAAATGTGGCCAGGAAGTGAAAATGATTGCTCTCCTTGACTCACAGTACCTCATCTGAATGTTAAGCTCTAAAGGTGCTTCGATAAATGTCAGTACAGGTTAAAGATTCTTTTTACCTGGTCTGCTTATATTTTCCCTTTACAACATGTACGCGCGCCATGCACACACACACACACACACACACACACACACAACTTCAGTGTCTCCAATAGTTCCTAGATAAATTCCAAGCCCTATATTCTGACTCTGAGATAACATAGGGCCAGCAATACAATGGAAGTAACACAGGTGACATATTCAGAGGCTGCAAGTTCAGCTATCTATCAAGTGCAAATATTAACCTTCCAATTTGGTTATCTACCAGGGAGAATACTAATATCTCTTTTATAACACTGCATAGAAGATTAGATAAAAATTCACTTGAAAGAGCCCAAAATAAACAACAGCCCTCCGTGTGAATTCCTTTTACCCTTTCAATCTGTGAAGCTGAGCCCAGATTTCCCCACCTGCCTCATTGACTTCCAACCCCATTCCAACCTTGACTTCCCCGTTTCTCTTACCACTGCTGACACTATTTTCTCCATCAAAAGCTTATTCCCCATAATCTCCAAAATCTCACTACTACGAGTAGGAAGCTCTCCAGGTTAAATTTCCCAACTGAAAAGGACCTTTCCTGTGCTATCAAGCCCATTCTAGCAGTTACTCGTTTGCGGGGTGTGGGGGCACCACATGTCCTTGGAAATGGGGCCCATGTTCACTGCACTTCATATTCCTGAGTCAACCTGGCTCAGTGCCTTCCACAGAGCAAGCAGTCTTTATTGTTGGATTAATTTAATTCTATCGTATCTCCCTGCACTTTTCTCTTGCTCTCCCTTTATTGTTTACATGTCATATGCAGTGACATTCTACCTCGAATACATCCACTGTGTTCCACAAAAGAGATGGAAGGCTGTGAACTTCCCTTAACCTCCAAACAGAAACACAAAAATCCCAAGAAGTACATGAACTGATGGCTTTATGAAAGGGAGCAGAAAAAGCTAGCCTGTCATAGAAGCAGCTTTTGCATGTCTAAATCGGTCTGTTTTGGGATGGAAGCCAAAGTCAGGGGTCCAAGACGATTCCAATTCGATTGCATTCCATTTATTATTTATATGGTGCATATTGCTGCAGTCTCTAAGCACTTTAAAATGAAATACAACATACCTCTGGGAGTGAAAAAGGAAATGAGGAACGGAGTGGGGAGGTGTTGGAGCATCAGTTACTGTGAGCTGGTGGGGTCTAAACAGAGACACGCCAGCGCCTCCCCTGTCTGACACAGGTGTGAATAACATATTCTTCAATGTCAGTGGCATAAATTTACATTGGGAGCTAGAAAATCTTTCTCTATTCTTTGCTGGCAAAGCACACAGTTCTCAAGAGGGTGGGGAAGAGCTCTTTTCTCTGGTATCTACCCTGAAATTCAGAAACTGAGCAGATATAACTGATACGTTTGCTTAACATCTAAACTTCACCTCGGGATTGTTTTGATTTGACTCCTTGTGGCAACAGATTACGAATGGTGAAACTTCTGGATACTGAGCTTTACTCATATAGCTCCGTTTCCTGTGACATTGGGAAATTCTCATAAGGAAGAAGAAAAGGAAAGAGACAGAAAAATACACCATCGGAACACTGCGGAGCATCTGGGGTCGGCCATTTATCCTGCTGGCAACACCACCGATACACATAGAGCAGGAGGTCAATATCTGCTTTTCTCCTCCCTGAGCTCTTCAGGTAGCTCCTGATATGTTTCCTTCATTCCAAAAGTCTAAAGAAATTTCAGGAAAAAAGGAAGGCACTCAGGTGCTCAAATACCAGACTCCAATATTTGTGGTGGTTTTAAAGGTGTCTTTAAGCAAACTCAAACTTTATCAGGGGAGGGGCTTTCATTTTTTTTTTTAAATATTTAATTATTTATAAATACAAGAACTGAGGTTCAGGCCAGAGGTGGGGGGGGGTGAGAGGACTCCCCAGAAACAGAGCAGGGAGCAGAACAGGCAGATGTATGGAAGTACACTGCTGAGGGGAGCAGTGGGCGGGTCAGGAGAGGTCTGCCGCGCCATGTGGGTCACCTCCCTGGCCAGGGAATGAACCCATGCTGCAGTGGCTGTGGACAGCCCCATAGTACTCAAACCGTTGCGCCACCAGTAAGGGCCCTGATAAGCTTTTTTAATCATGCAGATTTTCTTCTGGAAGCTGTGGACAAGGAGACTAAAATAAATAGAGATGCTTCTGCTTGGGGTGTTCAATATCCTCTGTAATGATTAAAAGTGCTGACCCAGTGGGAGCAGAGCACGCGTGTGGAGGTTATTAGGGTTGGGAACATCTTATGTGTGAGTGGTGAGTGAAGGCTGGTGAGTGGTGAGTGAGGAGCTAGGATGAGACTACGGAAGACGTCACTGCCACTATGACGAGGCACAAGGGCTCTACAATGCAGGGAGGGGACGAGGGGGGACAGAGGCCAGCAGGAGGGGCTGGGAGGGGGTGGCCGCTTCAGAGTTACAGAGAGGAGTTGGCAGAGAGTAGCCTTCATACAGAGGGGGACTCCATGTTCCCTGCTCGCTAATGAAGGGTAGAGCAGAGTGGCAAGAAGCTGAAGACGCCTTGGAAGGTGGGGGAGACCTCCTCTGGAGCAGAGCAGAGACACGCGGAGGGAGGCATGTTGCTTCTCAGCTTTGGACTTGCGCCAGGCACTTGGGGACATGGGAGGAGACACATGAAGTCAAGAAACGTAGAGAAATGTAGGTGAGAGACTGGAACAGCTGATAATCTCAGCCTGTTCCTTGAGTTGCACTCTGATTTTGCTCCTTTCATCCCAGACTTGCTGGGCCCTTTCTGCTCCTTCCTACGGTTTTCTGCCAGAAGGTGTCTTGGATTTGTGGCAAGTTTTTGGGCCTCAACCCTGTTTGGCTGTGCATTTACCCATGAGGGGGATGGGTAACTGGGGTGTTTCATTAGGAAACCATTATCCTTTCTCCCCCTGCTCTTTCTGTGCACACCAATTCTATTAAAGTTCTTTTCTATTAAAGGTCATACACACGACGAATATGCTTTGTCTTTATGCAGCAAACAGCAGAACTCATTTAGAGCGTGCAGGCTTGGGTCCCACGGTGCCTCTCAGTCTGCATACTAACATCAGTTGTTTTCCATTGTGTTTGTGATCTCCCTCTGTAACTGCTGATCCTTCCAGAAAGAATGTTAAACACAACAGTTTCCTATTAGCACGATGTCAAGAAAGGTGAGGGAGGCCAGTGTCTGTGTTTTGAGAGGGATGTGGGTCGAGCAGAGGTGTAAGCATAAGAGGCAACCGAGAAGAAGGTTGAGTGTTGTCTGGAGTGAGAGGGGAGAGGGCAGCTGGAAGGACTTGTGGAACATGGAAATGAAGTCTCTGGGCTCTGGAAATTGTAAGGGCTGAATGTCCTGCATCCATGTAATGGGATGGAAGAATGGGAGGAACGGGAAGGAAGAGTTGAGCTGGGACGATGATACGGTGTGAATTCATTTCCAATTCAGAAAAAGAAAAAATGGAAGGGAGGAAAGAAGGATGCCCGCCAGCCTAGTACATGCCCACCTTGGCATCTATCCCTGGCAGGAAGGGTGCGCTCCACACCTCCCAGGAATGGTGGAGCTGATGGTGGGTGGAGGGTAGCTCGGAAACAGGCCACACTGAAAATTCAGGGCCCAAGCTAGATGCCTGCAGTTTACCTCAAAGGGAAAGATGTGAACCCACGAATGTGAGGTGCTGGGTCCAGGGCCCCCAGCTGGCCTATGGCCATGTTTGTACTCTGCCAGGTGTTACGAAGCATTGGTAAGTCAATGCACTCTTCATCCACGTCTATTTGATTTTACAAGAGGGCGCCTAGAGTAGATAGCCCTTCTGTCTGAAGGAGGAACAAAACTGGCCGCCGTACAGCTTAGTGTGTATTCAGGACTTTCATTCAAATCACCTTTGAAAAAGTTAGCTCCTTTTGGAAACTCTGAGGACACAGGGCAACATCATCACCCCTCTACAGAAGAAATGATGGAGGTGGTAGGATGTGGGGAGACTGGGCCCTAACCCGAAAACTCTGCTCCACTCTCAGTCGGCTGCTCCTGCCCCACTGGGAAGCTGCCACTGTCTGTGGCATCTGGGCTGATTCATCTTTGTGCGCAATTTTGCTTTTGTTTTTCTGTCCTTAAGTAATCGGGTCTGGGCGGTTCTGTTCAGCTCTAGCCAATTCTATTGCTGGAGCTTGGATCCAGGTCTTGCAAGTTTTCAAGAGAAGCTGGACATTCATAGTTGCATGAAAAGTCGAGTTGGTACATCCGAAAAGGACATCAACACAGTGCAAACTGGCCCGCTGGCCAGGAGAGGGGGATCCTGCCATTAGCCTGTGTGCCTGGCCCCTCCCCAGCACGAGAAGGAAGGTGCTCCTTTCTGGGGGACACTCACCTGCTCTCAGTACCTGCCCCTGGACTCCCATTGCTTTCTGTTTCCCTCTTTTCTTGGGACTCCTGGAAATCGGGGGTTGCAGGGAAAATTGGTTATGCTCCTTTGTTTACTTTAGCACCCAGAACGGGAGGGAGGGAGCGCAGTAGCTGG